GTCAGACTGAGAAATCTCTGCTTTTGTTGTTTATTTTAACAGCAATATTGAGCTTATGTCGTGTTGATGGCCTGGAGACTGTCTAGTTTTCTTCTCGCTGGCTGGGCAGGGCAGATTTGGAGCATGCTTCCTGGGAGCTGCCCATTAGGTTGGCTAATGCATAAACTGGAACGGCCACCTAGAGGGAACAGGGATCTTGAAGGAAGCACCTCAGCCATCAAATTTCATCCTTTGCAGTAGCAGGGAGCCCTGTGGTAAATGTTTAGCTCAGATAAGTCAACAGAAATGCTACTCTGTGTAGTCAGGAGCCACAGAACACTTCCCCCAAACTTGTAATAACATTAAAGTCCATAATACAAAAGGTAGAACCACAAAAGCACACCACACCACAGGAAAAGAGCAGGAGAGATTGGGGCATTACCAGTGTGTTCAGACTCTAAAGTTTCAGGAGAATTTGTCCCCTAAAGAAGTCTAGACAATCCTCCAAAGTAAACAATCCCTCACGCTATTGATAGAGACCAAAACCTTCCAAGCCTTCCCTGCCAATCTGCTCTGAAAGAATTTTTTGGACCCAAACGTGGTGACCAGCTTAACCCTCAATGCCTGAGCAAGATGCATCATGATTTGGACAGGTGTTTACCCTCCACATCCATTCAGTTTTCTCACTGGCCTCTATCTTCTGAGACAGCTAATGAGGTTCTCTGTTAGTATCAATTACGGATATAGTGCTAGTGAGACACACTAGAAACTGACTGGACACAGACTTTCAGACCCATCTTATGTTGACCATTCACCCACCATTACAGAGATCTTGTCAAATCTTGTAAAAAAAATTCTGAAAATAAGCTCACTTTCTTTTTATGTTTGTTTGTTTTCCTGTTGGACCTTGCTGCAGGGTGAAGGAGAAGGGGCTCATTAGAGACTAGCACAGGAGTCTTGTTGGTTTGCTTTCCTATGTTGCCACCACATGTGTCTATCTTCTTTTTCACTGTTGTTGTCTATAGTAGCAAGGATCAGATAGAAAATCCGGCATTTCCTATGCATTTGTATACATTAAACCCCTCCAGGTGGGACTGCTGTCAAACTAGGTTAACTTTTAGACTCTTTATCATAGACGATGTCTCTTAAAATTACCCTATGGGGTTTCAAGGCCACTGAGGGCCATGTGCTTCTGGCCTTTAAACAAAACAGAAGATGTGTAGGCATTGTAAATGAGAAATCAAGTGAAAGCTTCAGCCCATTCTTCACACCGAGAGGTTGTACATAACACTCTGGAGCAGGGCACAGCAAAGAGGGGACTGTGAAAGAATCCATTAGTAGTTATATTGTCCTGGAGCAGAAACTGGCATTTCAGCGCACAAATCACCAGGTACTTTCTAAACAGACGAACTGAACTCTGAGTTGCAAACCTTTGAAAGTCTCATGCATAGTTCCCAATAGGTGGGAAAGATTGGGTTTATAATGCATTGATATACCAAAAGTTCCATATTCTTTTTAGTGCTGAGTAGATTCTGGAAACCCCCTGAATGCAGTCCTCTTATTTACCATTTTGCTGTAACCTTTTTATTGAATTGATTTTTTTTGGACTGGTAAGGGAGAAATACTAATTAGCTCTCTCCATTTTTGATAGCTTGCCTTATTATAAAACTAATTAGTGTCTGACTTTTATTGCTGTGAGAATGAGAACACTGAAAAAAGCCTCAGAGTAGCAAAATTAAAAATATGAGATTTTTCTAATGATTCTGTGCTGGGTGAGACACTTACGTATTTCTTCCAACAAACTTTCATTTTCTTTGGTGTCCTGGTTTCAGCTGGGCTAGAGTTAATTTTCTTCCTAGTAGCTGGTACAGTGCTGTGTTTTGGATTTAGGATGAGAACAATGTTGATAACACACTAATGTGTTAGCTGTTGCTAAGTAGTGTTTATACTAAGTCAAGGACTTTTCAGCTTCCCATGCTCTAC